CTACTTTTGAAAAACACATATATCAATGTACGATATGAAAACTAACAAACTAACAACTGATAACTCTAATTACTGAAGTCGTGGATCCATTAAATGTTCTTGTGCACGATCACAATTTTCACTTTTATATATTTCATGGATGAAATAACGCCTCGAAGAACGCGACATTTTTTCACTGTCAAAATTCAGACATTTGAACAGCACCACAGCTTTACACTAACTGAGATTTTTTCTTTCTTTCAAATCGAACTACGCACTTAAAATAAGAGAAAGTTGGTGTATTTTGTTTTGGGAATTTGTATTATAACATGACCTACGGCGCGACGTTTCAAATTTTTACGACTATGGATCAGCTAACGTAACCGAGAGCATTGGTTACTATATACATGTATAGCAATGAACTAACTGTATTAAACCTATGAATTCTAAGAAAAATGATTGAAAAAATTTTTATTTTAAAAAATTGTCAAAGTCAAGTGAGGGTATTGACACTTGTAATATATCGTAAGTCTCGAATATGCTTGCATATAATTAAGTCCTAATATGTTCGCGCGCGACAAAGTCCCTACATATCAATCAATGCATAGGAATTTAAAGGCTACTTCAGGATGGGGAGCTTAACGCAGAGTCATTTAACTCTAAGCTTTCGCAGCGAGAGGATGAGGTCTTCCGGTTATGGACTTTTCGTGCAAGGTGTTTATGCTCGCGCGCGCAACTAATTCTACTTATACTCGCGCGCAACTAAGACCACTTATACTCGCGCGCGTAACTATGTCCTTTCATGCGTGCACGCTTCTAACTGTCACGCTAACTACTTTTTTCATTAACTTCAAAAAAATTTTCAAGACCAAATACATTACATTTAGTGCAATGAATACTTAAAAATTTTTCAAAGTTGAAATGAGCGCGTTGATTTAGTAATTCATAAGGTGCAGTCGTGACGCTGTTCAATCATCAATTAACGCGTGTGCATTATGATCTCCCTTTATATAAATTCATGAATGAGAGAGAAAGTGCACGCACAGCTCATAGCCACGCGCTACATGGCTAACTTTTGGGAGAGGGGAGAGTGTGACGCATTGCACTGCTCCACGGCTAAGACCATATTACGTTCACACGTGTAAGTTCTCATATGACCGAAAACTTATCTTTCTCAGCGTGCAACATAGCTAATGGAGCTATATCACTTCGTAGGCGCACGATTCTAAGTTTTTTTTCTGTTTTGCATGCTGTAGAGACTAAGTGTCGATAGCAGAGACAGATGAAACTAAGCCGTGTGCGCATTGGAAAGAAAGGCTATAGTATAAGTCATCTAGCGTCAGCTCGTTTAAAGGGACTTAACTATATTTGCTCGGAGCTAGAGTTCTTGTAGCATATAAAAAGAACTTTGCCACATTCATAAAGATTGGACATAGACGTGTGAGCGAATTTTGATTATCGCGCTGTTACTAACATATTTGAAAAAGTGGAAAGGGGTAAATGTATAAAATGCGTGTCAAAATCGATGCTTCATCATATTCAGTCGAGCACTCATCGGTTCGAGCAATCATGGCACATTGCAATCCTTTAACAAGGTATTGAAAAAATTTCAATCAATGAACTAACTTTTGATTTAAACTATATTTCTGTCTAATATTTTTTTTATTGTAGATTTGACATGTAAATCATCTCTGATATACAAGACTTTAAGTACGATCATCAACCAGTTTTTAAAGAACTAGCAACGATAAATCTCAATATATTGAATTAACGATATTGAACCCGTCCATTGGATTTTCAAACCACCATGTCCTTGGGAAGAACTTCCCAGTCATTCAAACCGTGAAAATTCATGGCTTACAAATAACTTCCATGGGCTTGATTGGAATACAGGAAACTTACCATACGATTGCCATCCGCTTATTATACAAGACCTATGTCGCTTAGCAGCTGACACTGAGAAAGTTCTTATTTATTTAAAGGGGCGTCAAAAAGTGAAGTAGCTCACTAGATTTATTGATCATGTCTTCGATCTCGAAGATCTGGGTTGTCCTTCCTTACATCAGTCAGGATTTTATGAACCTATAGTTTGCAATTATCATCCTCTAGACTGGACAGAAATCTACGCGCTTCTAAATATCGTGGCTCTTAAAAACTGGTTGAAAAACCGTTATAGTCGACAATTAAGTCAGACTTGCGACCTCCCTGACAGTGATTCTTCAACATCAGAGTCGAATAATGATGATAGTGATGATTATGATTATGATGTGATCAGCAAACTAAAAATGTTAGATTTAGAGGATGAGGAAAATTAAGTAGAGGTGGGGGATTGGTACAACATCTTCAATTAAAATGAGCGGTTTAACCATATAAGATACCGATTCATTCGCTCGTCTACGCTCACAGTAGATCCTTCATATAGCTTGAATACTCTTTTTAATCAAAAATTGTATGTCAACTGTTATTCATAGAATTTTTTCATTTTTTATACTTGGAATTTTACATGTCGCATTGTGGAAGCTATTAACGCAGTAGTTCGTACCCCATCCTACTTGCCAACGAAGAAATTAAAAAAATTGAATCCTTCAATCCTTAAACAGTCACTGGCATGAAAAAAGTTCAAACAAAATTCGGAACAAGAGTCGTCGAACTGGAGGCTGAGTTTGACGTTTTCCTTCCCAATAAACTAAGTGAACAAATTGGACAATTCTTAGTAGAAATTCCAAGTTAAATATAATTAACACAGAAATTTGGATCCCCTATTAGAAAGAATTTATAAGTCTCATGTATATTGAGTTATTTGAAATTTAATACTAATATGGTGCGTGAATAGTGAACAAATAAAAGATATGGATTTATTTTTTATTATAATTTTATCTAATATAATTAGGCTCGTATTTATCCGGCATAAAAACCCCAGTCATAAGTAGGGAAAAGCCATCTAAATATAAGCAAATACAGTCGACGAATGTACAGAGTTATGCTACTTATTATAGTTAATACATTTCGGCAGGCTCGCTTTGCCTGTGAATGGCCATTCAAGTTATAGACTACTCGCTTACCACACGACGCTAATTGCACCTTGTGCGAGAAGGAAGGTCGTCTCCTAGAGCAGCACAGTGCCAACGTCTTGGTCACGGGCACGGCCCACACTATGCTGCCCCTAAAGTAGGGCCGAGTTGCTGCTGTCTGAGCTGCCCAGGGTCGGAGACGCCTCAGAGGATATCACGTATATCCTCAGCTAGGCCTACGGATGCCGGTAGCCCTTGTTGCGATCGTGGGTTCGACAGGTCACAAGATAAAATGCGCGATACTGCAGGAACTCGCACTCACATTCAACACACACGTTACCCGTGAAGGCTAGCACGATAAATTAACACAACGACGTAACAATTGAAAGCAGCAGTTAACTGAGCGCAACTAGATGACGAGGTGCTGAGATAGAGCTACGAGGTGTAAGGATCGAGTTCTCGAGAGCTACTGCTGCTTCCTCCTTCCTGAAGAAGGATCAGAGTTTTCTCCAGCATTGGGCCTGTTCGTGGAGACAATTAAAAAAAAGCAAGGTTTATAGTGCCGAATTTTCCTCCGAATGTTTACCTGCGCGACAATTGCTGGACGACCATACCGCCTGTTTTCTTTTGTATCGCGCGCACACCGCTGGAACTGCCGCACGTGTTAATATTCTGGGTTTTCCCCATCCGCAAAAAAAGAGAGAAAACATTAAGCGACAAAGGACCGAATCTCTAAATAAACTTTCACATTTACAACCGCCAAAAAAATTGTTATAAATTATTACTCTCTACTTTCGTGCTATGCACATGGAGCGCAGATGCCGCGAACATTCCGCCCGCCTTCGTCCGTCGGACGAATGTACACTTCGCAACTTATATACTATTTTCCGGCTTGGACTTATCCTCATGGTCTTCAGATCGATGCAGGTTCAAGGGTGCGAGACAGGCAATGTGTCGACGGAGTGTGTTGTTTGCAGTCTTGACAGTCACCACTCGAACAAGACCATCTGAGCCAGCGTGTAATTCAAGCACACGCCCAAGAGGCCATTTAGATGGTGGATAGCGATCATCCTTCATAAGGACCAGTTGACCGATTGTGAAATTTGCAGTCGGATGTTGCCACTTGTTTCGCGCTTGCAGTAGAAGTACATACTCGCTGGACCAACGCTTCCAGAATTGGTCTCGGATTCGCTGCAAGAGTTGGAATCGGTCGAGACGATTTTCTGGGACCGATGGTGTGGCTTCGTCAGGGATAACTCCAGAGGCAGCTCCGATGAGAAAATGTGCTGGAGTGAGTGCTTGCAAGTCCTCGGGATCTGCTGTCAGTTGGCACAAGGGGCGCGAATTGAGGCAAGCTTCAATCTCAGCCAGGACTGTTGATAGCTCTTCGAAAGTAAGAATGCGTTCTCCAATCAACTTTTTCAGCAGATTCTTAGTAGACTTAACTCCAGCCTCCCATAGTCCTCCATAGTGTGGAGTTGTAGGCGGGATGAATGTTCACTCTGTTCTATCGTTGAGTAGTAAGTTTGCGGCTTCCTTGTAAAAGCTTGAGGCGGCTGTGAACATGCTTCGAAGCTCGGTGTCAGCTCCACGGAAGGTTGTAGCATTATCGCTGAAAAGTTTCTTGCAGAGTCCTCTTCTGCTTACGAAGCGTCGATAGGCAGCGAGAAATGAAGTAGTCGTGAGATCACTCACAACTTCAAGATGCAATGCCTTTGTAGCAAAACATACAAAAAGCGCAATGTAGCCCTTGTAGATCGTTCGGCCACGGCCCTTTGATGCGCGTAGTTGGAAGGGACCAGCATAATCCAGACCAGTGTTGGTAAATGGTCGAGCAGGGGTCACACGTTCCGTTGGTAGATCGCCCATGAGTTGATGGGCCAAGCGAGGCGAATGACGCTGGCATCTTACACATTTGTGTATCGCTGATTTGACCAACGCTCGCATATTCACAATCCACGCAAATCGCAACAGAATACTTATCGTTAGAGTAGGTCCACCATGATACGCTCACTCGTGCGCGTATGACACAAAGAGTCGGCTAAGGGATGAGGAACGAGGTAAAATTGGCGGATATTGCAAATGGCGAGGTAGATTGGCATTACTCAAGCGACCTCCGACGCGAAGAATACCATCCTTATCTAAAAAGGGCTGTAATTTGCATAAATAATGGCGCTTAGGTAGAGTCTTATGAGATCGTAGTAACTCGATTTCCGTCGAAAACGTGTGCGCTTGAGCTACTCTCACGATCACGGTTCTGGCATTATCAATATCTGCAAGCGTGAGATATTTAGGATAAGAGCCTTGGGATGCTCGCTGTCGAACCTTTTGCAATATTGGTCGCAAACACCATGCAGTTATACGTATGAGTCGCGTAAGACTCGAGTATCTCGCCAACAACACTGGTTCGTCAGAGCTTGGCCGAGTATGTAGTGAACGCAACGATTGTCGTGGCTGGGGCCATTTATCAGAAGGAGATAATAGCCACATAGGACCAGTCCACCACAAGTCATTCGCTCGCAATTCGTCAGGCATCGCGCCTCGCGTGGCAAGATCAGCCGGATTTTGTTTTGTGGGTACGTGCGACCACAACGCGGAAGGTAACTCGGTTTGAATTAAAGAAACACGGTTGGCAACAAATGTCTTCCAATGACACGGGTGCTTCTTGAGCCAAGTGAGTACTACTTGACTGTCGGACCATAGGCGTATTGGCACATTTTGCAGAAACTTCAGTTTTTGCAAGTGTACCACTAATTTAACGAGAAGAGTTGCACCGCACAACTCAAGGTTCGGAATGCTGACGGTCTTAACTGGTGCAACCTTCGTTTTTGCTGTTAGCAACGATACATGATAATTACCGTTACCGTTATCGATGCGTAAATAGACGACAGCGGCGTATGCACGTGAAGATGCGTCAGAAAAACCATGAATCTCAAATGGTTTCTGATCAAACAACCCAAGCCAACGATTAATCGAGAGAGTGTGCAGTGTTGAGAGTGACTGGCAGTAGCTCTGCCAGCGGTCGCAGATTTCGGCAGACAAGGGCTCATCCCAGTCGCACTTCTCAATCCATAAGTCCTGCATAATAATTTTTGCCAGTACCGTCACAGGAGCAAGCCAGCCAAGAGGGTCATATAACCGCGCGATGTCCGAATAGATCGATCTTTTTGTGAGTTTTTTCTCTGAACGGCTCAAGATCGACGCGCTAAAGCTAAAGGCATCGCTCGACGGGTTCCAATGCACACCGAGCGTTTTTACCGCGCTGTTAGTGTCGATTTGTTTAATCGCGCCGACTTCACCCGACAGGATAAATGAAGGTAATAGATTCGGGTGATTTGCAGCCCACTTATCTAACTCGATGCCAGCGGACTTCAAGATGCCGATAAACTCGTCACGTATACGCACAGCCGTCGGCAAATCATCTGCACCCGCGAACGTATCGTCGACGTACGTATTTGACTCAAGACAAGCCGCTCCGAGGGGAAAACATGTCTTTTCGTCGGATGCTAATTGCAGCAGCGTACGAATCGCGAGAAAAGGCGCGCAGGCCGTGCCGTACGTGACCGTTGTTAAGCGGTAATCCATAGCAGGCCTTCCCGGTGCACGCGACCACAGGATACGTTGCAAATCCTGATCTTCGCGAGCAACAAGAATTTGCCGGAAGATTTTCACAATATCAGCTGTAAAAACATATTTATACCGACGCCAATTCAACAAGATCAACGAGAGATCACTCTGAAGAGCTGGCCCTGACATGAGAAGCTCGTTCAAGCAGTACTTATCATGAGTACGACGAGAGGCATCAAAAACAACACGTATCTTGGGTTTTTCTGCAGTACCGGTGATAACAGGATGATGTGGATGATACCACGCTCGCGTGTTCTTAATTTCAGATCTTGGTACAGGTATCATATGACCGAGCTTTATGTACGTTTCCATAAAGTCGGTGTATGCCTGCTGTAATGTAGGATCGCGCGAAAAGCGACGCAATAGATGTTGCAAAGAACCGAGGGCCACTCTTCGCGTCTCATCGGCTACTCGTGGAGGCTCTGAATTAAGGGGTAGGCGAACCTGAAATCGTCCGTCAGTAGTACGCTTATGAGTTTCGGCAAAAAGTTTCTCCCATACTTCATCCTGAGGCTTCAGACTCTTAGGCGCGACAGGAACCTCTTCGACTGTCCAAAAACGTTCGATCACATCACTTAAGTCATTGCTAACTACACAACGCAAAGATTTAACGGTCTCACGTTTGCTTGCTGCCGTAACGGCACTCTTTGCGTTGGACCTGATATCACCCAGCCGAGAGCAGTATTTTGCGCAACTAGCGAGCTTGAAGGAAATTTGGTCAAACCTGCTCGTAACAATTGTCCGTAAAGATCCGCTCCTATCAAAATGTCGACTCTATCCGAGAGATAAAATTCCGGATCAGCGAGAGGTAGCATCTTAAATGGTTCTAATTCAAGCTCCACAAGATTTCGCGACGGTAATTCGGACGTCAATCTAGGCAGAACAAATGCATTCACATCAATTTTAAATGGAGGATCCTGGTTCGATTTCATGGTGAAGCTAGTCGCGTGTTTGACGGCGCCAGCAGTACAGCCTCCTATTCCCATTAGGCTAGTTGTCACACGATCTCGTTTGAGCTGGAGGAGTTGGACGAGCGACTCAGAGACAAACGTGGCTTCTGACCCTTGATCAAGCAAGACCCGAGCACAAGTCTGTCTTCCAAACGGGCCTATAACCGTAACTTGGGCCGTGGCGAGTAAGATGGATTGCTGACTTGCAGCCGAGTTGCAAGCGTTAATACTGAGTCCGGGGCCGCCCGCCGTGCGCCCAATATTCGCTCTAAATTTTTGTGTAGCTGCTAAAGCACTTGACCTTTCAGTGGAAAAAGCGGAGTGAAGCAAAGTATGATGACGTTCTTCGGTTGTGCAGTCTTTACACCTATACTTTGATGGGCACGCGGAACGCTTATGACGGCCGAGGCAGTTGAAGCACAGCTTAGCTTCGCGCACTGCCTTTTTGCGTTCTTCTGGAGTTTTTGCAAGGAAGGCGGAACATTTTGAAGTAAAATGATTTCCTTCACAAAATCCACATTTCAAAATCCTGGCTGGCTGCGACGATTGTGCGTGATGAACTTTACGCGAGCTTGAGAGAGTACTGATAGGAGGGTTCGGACGTTTGTCCTCCTTATCAGCTTGGATGACTATCAAAGACTGTGCGCGTCTCTCTAGAAACGCAGCCAAATCGACGAACTTTGGCATGCGAACGAGATAATCATCGTCATCGTCTTCTATGTTGGCTAAGGATGATTGATCTTTCGCACTCCACTCAGCTTCCCAGTGTTTTCGGGACTCGGTATCAAGACGGACTTCCAACAAATGGACTAGCCATAAATCCCAATGGACTACCGGAGCTCTTAGATTTTTAAGCGAACGCACAATTCGTTGTGCATTGTCGATAAAACTACGCAAATCAGAGGCTGACTCTTTCTTAAGATGCGGCAAGTTAATAAAGGCGTCAAGCAAGTTATTAATTGTCAAGCGCGGATTATGAAATCGATTTTTCAAAGCTTTCCATGTCGTATCATAATTTATACCTAAGATAGTGACGTCCTTCACTAACTCGGCTGCAGAGCCTTTCAAGCAAGACTTCAGGTATTGAAGCTTAGTAGTATCAGCAATGCGCGGCGCGTTGTGTACGAGGGTGGTAAAAATGTCCGCGAAGCTATCCCAATCTTCATGCTTGCCCGAGAAGGTAGGTAGATCTAACCTAGGAAGTTTTGCTGAACAATCGTCGTGATCGTCGTCTTCACGTTCGCGTCGTCGAGGATTGCGTTCCTCATTACTCGGAGACTGCGGTAGTGCGGTTAACAATACGTCAAGGGTATTCTCATAGATATCTTGCAAGGCAGCGTACTTATTTTCAGTAATATAAGCGTTTTCAAACGCCTCTGCTCGCAGTGCAATATCGGTGTGTGTCTTACGCACATCCGCCCACAGGTCGTTGATCATATTAATGCGCGTTTGTATGATCGTTTTGCTAAGCGTGTTAGCCGCACGATGACGTATGTGATCGCCGATGCGTTTAATTTCATCATGGCGTTGTTGTTGGAGTACTATCAGTCGGGTTAACGGGCTAGGCGCCATCTTACACACAAAGACAAAAGACAAATGGAAAGAGCGTACTATATCGTGGTGGACCTCTAACACAAGACAATTCTAAATATGACCATAAAGCAACGCAGCAATCAATGTATTTATTCACTAATCACGCACTCCTCACCCGGGGCACCATGAACAAATTGGACAATTCTTAGTAGAAATTCCAAGTTAAATATAATTAACACAGAAATTTGGATCCCCTATTAGAAAGAATTTATAAGTCTCATGTATATTGAGTTATTTGAAATTTAATACTAATATGGTGCGTGAATAGTGAACAAATAAAAGATATGGATTTATTTTTTATTATAATTTTATCTAATATAATTAGGCTCGTATTTATCCGGCATAAAAACCCCAGTCATAAGTAGGGAAAAGCCATCTAAATATAAGCAAATACAGTCGACGAATGTACAGAGTTATGCTACTTATTATAGTTAATACATTTCGGCAGGCTCGCTTTGCCTGTGAATGGCCATTCAAGTTATAGACTACTCGCTTACCACACGACGCTAATTGCACCTTGTGCGAGAAGGAAGGTCGTCTCCTAGAGCAGCACAGTGCCAACGTCTTGGTCACGGGCACGGCCCGCACTATGCTGCCCCTAAAGTAGGGCCGAGTTGCTGCTGTCTGAGCTGCCCAGGGTCGGAGACGCCTCAGAGGATATCACGTATATCCTCAGCTAGGCCTACGGATGCCGGTAGCCCTTGTTGCGATCGTGGGTTCGACAGGTCACAAGATAAAATGCACGATACTGCAGGAACTCGCACTCACATTCAACACACACGTTACCCGTGAAGGCTAGCACGATAAATTAAGACAACGACGTAACAATTGAAAGCAGCAGTTAACTAGGTGACTGAAAATAATGCGACGAGGTGCTGAGATAGAGCTACGAGGTGTAAGGATCGAGTTCTCGAGAGCTACTGCTGCTTCCTCCTTCCTGAAGAAGGATCAGAGTTTTCTCCAGCATTGGGCCTGTTCGTGGAGACAATTAAAAAAAAGCAAGGTTTATAGTGCCGAATTTCCCTCCGAACGTTTACCTGCGCGACAATTGCTGGACGACCATACCGCCTGTTTTCTTTTGTATCGCGCGCGCACCGCTGGAACTGCCGCACGTGTTAATATTCTGGGTTTTCCCCATCCGCAAAAAAAAGAGAGAAAACATTAAGCGACAAAGGACCGAATCTCTAAATAAACTTTCACATTTACAACCGCCAAAAAAATTGTTATAAATTATTACTCTCTACTTTCGTGCTATGCACATGGAGCGCAGATGCCGCGAACACTAAGCGAACATTTTATTGTGAACCCGGAATCGTACAATACTCTGCTCTGTCAACTTAAAAAAAGAATTGTTAAGCTTAAGTACCTTGGCGGCAGCTTATTAGAATTTATGTAAGTTACAGTAATTCAATAAATATAAAAAACTTCAAGAAATTAACATCTTTCAATTTACTATTTATCATCCATTCATTTCCTTTTTTTATACATTTTAACAATGAGTATTGATGTATTTGGATGCAAGCTCAGAGGAGCTGACAAACTAAATTTGAAAACTTCATATAAGATTCTTTTAACAGAGATTGAAAATATTAAAGATTCTATTTTAAAATTGAAAGCTGAATTAAAAGAAACTTATCATTGATTGATCTTCATCGAGAAGAACATGATATAAAAATCATAGAAGTTTTATCTGACATTCATAAGTTGAATGAGTCATTTACCCTCTCTATGACGCAGTTGCCGTTACAAAAGGAGCACGATTCATTCGCTGCAGCTCATTTGCCGTCTGTAGCAGCATCAGACACATTATGAATTCATTAAGTAACAACATTCGAAGTCGGGCTATAGCGTTCTTGCATGAATATCTTAGTAAACCGTACAATGTAGATGATTCTACGGTTTAAACAACGATGAATTATGTCACTCATTGACGAAGGTGAATGAACATTTTTCTAACATTTTTAACCTATCAACGAATGATCTCATAATAATTGAATATTCTATAACCTTATTGAAAGGTATCTGGTACATGACAAAGGATAAGAAAATGAATAATTTATCTGAATATTCAATGGGCCTTTGTCATATATTTACTCAGGAAGATATTCCTAGTTCTAGAACTGATAGGTTAGCTAAAAAAGTAGTGATCAATGTTAGTCATTCCATACTAAACGTTTTTATGCAATATGTTGCTGAATATGTTCGCATCACCATTGACAATTATCTCCGAAATGAATTGGTTATGGATGTACATTTTATATTCACAGTTTTATATCTAAATCGTGAATATACCGATTCCAATCAAAATTCAAAGTTAAACTTTTCAAAGTGAAATATATTCCTGTTTACTCGGCTTACAAATATCGAAGATGATTTTGCATAAATGTGTTACAACCTCTGAAAACAAAGATTGATAATTATCAAACATAGAATCCAGATTACTCTCTTGGCTGTGTAACTAACGTAATTGTCAGCTATTATAAATAAGACAACGCAAGAATCAGATTATTCATCAGCAAGCATTCGAATGAAATGGACCGCTATCCGTCAGTTGAGTATTCGCGTCTTCGCCAAGAAGACCCAGATGAAAACAAAAAACAATTTACATGGAAACAAATCACTTCCAAATTTTCAACCAACACTAGTTAATTTCCAGAACAAAAAGGCTACCAACAGTTCAACAATGATAAGAAGAAATACAGATAATCAGGTTACAAAACTTGTATAAGTCTTATAATATAACAGTCATGTATACTTTTTTATCAAATAAATATTTTTTTTAATTTTAAACGTATTCAAAATTTTGATGATTTTTTTGTTGATTTTCCAATAATAATAAACCTTAGCCCCCACGGGGCATGCGCATGAGTAGTAGTAATAGTAGTAGTACACCGCTAAATCCAGAACTTTCCACGAGATATACCGAATGGGCATCATGCCTGTACGCCGCCGTCGATAATACCCCACCCATTAATCATATATCTTTTTTTTCATCAATCTAACTCATCATCGATCGATCATTGGGCATGGGGCCGGTGACCGGGGGCCTGCGGGGGGCATCATCCATCCATCTCCACGTCGCTAACTATCACGCACGCACGCACGCACGCAAACGTATATAACGGTCGACTACAATGCAAACTGTCGATAAAAAATCTGCCGGTAAAACATCCCATTCGATAATGCAGGATTGATAATGTTACCGACTGCTGGTAAGGAAGGAATAAATACTCGTATGGTAAAAGTGGCTTGGATCCCATATAGCCTATACTACTATAGTTTATTAATAATTTTTGTTTCCTCATATTGTTCGCTATTTGAAAAAATTTTATGCTTTATTATTCTACTTTTGGTTGGAATAAAATTATGTTGCCTTTGCAAATTTGCAACTCGAATATTATTATCAAACCTCTTATTTAACTTACTTAAATTTTTATTATAATGACTAATGGGCAAAAATTCAAATTCTACATAACGAAAATTACTTTTGAGTTTCAAGCAATCATACAACGCATTTGGAGTTAAAATTGATTTTTCTGATGGTAATATTAAACTGACTTTCACAGCAGCTTTCTTTATAGAACCTTCAATGCCATCACAAGCACCTTTCCCATGAGCTGTAGGAAAGAAATTCCATACGGCTTTAATTTTAAAATCGTCATAATGATAATATAAATTTAATATATTTTTATAATTTTTAAACTGTTGGGGAGCACCTACACTAAAGTAATCTATGTTTTTGATTGAGAAGTTGTTATTTACATACTTTAGCAAAAGTTGCTGATATGTAGAAACAGCTATAGTATCATGTGTCAAATTATCTAAAATAACGATAAATCCTTTTTTTTTAATTCACCTTGAATTTTGAAACCAACAAAAATAGTGGCTTGGTTATTATTTTAATGAAATTTTGGTGGGACATTTTACACAATAAATGCGTAGTTTTCGGAGAAATCTCAATTAATATTTATCTCATCATCCAGCAATTTATTTTTAAGGTCTTTAAAATATTTAGACTGCTCTCTCGAAATAAATGTATGGGATAAGAGATGCTTAGTTTTTTCGCAAAAACTAAGTGATAATGCCAGCGATGAAGTCACTGGCATCATAAGTGATGTTTTTTAATGTGGTTCTTGGTGTTGAGACCCATTGCGAATAATTTATTTCATCGAAGTCTAATTCCAAAAATATTGTTAGCAAATAGTCTTGGAGAACAATTCTCACATTTACCCAACTAGCATTTAGCGTCTGGAATGTCAGAATCATTGTCACAAATAATAAATTTCAAAATGTCTTTGTAATCTTTGAACTGAAAATCATAACCGTATATTATTGCAGGTAATGAAGAACCTAAAATAAATTATATATGCTTAATTTAAAATCGAGTGATATTTATGATTATATCGTTACAATTACAAAATAAATACCTGATATCATTAACTTTACATTTTGATGGATCGAGCAAACACAAACTGAATGAGTCCCATTACTTCCCGCTAGTAACAATATTTAGGTCTATGTTTTCCAAAAGTTGAAAATTCAACAGATGCATCTGGATAATACTATTTAAACTGCATGTATAATTTCTTCAATGAACAAAGAATTAGACGTTTTTCCTAAAAAACTATATTTTATTCTATATCTTTAGTTTTGATACAATCTTTTATACCCGGCAATATGTAAGTATTGTCTTCACTAGCATAAAAATGTATAATATTTATTATTGTTTCTTTTGAAATAACCTTTCCTAAATTTGAAAGTCATAATTACTAAAACTATTAAAAAAAATTAAGAAATTAATGATAAATTACATGTTTTTGCAGAAACTAATGTTGCCATTGGTCCTTTAGCTATTTGTAATTTTTTTTATCTTTGTATCATATAATTTGATGCTTCAAAATGTTTGTGTATTTCCTTAGATGTCCAATCGAATGTATTTATTAATAATAATAATGCGTCTACGCACTACTAAATTCTAT